ACTATTGCGTTGACCTTGCTATGCCTGTTATGGGGTCATCTGCCATTGGGGCAGGGGCCTGGTAGGAATTTTGTCCATTTGGCTTATTGGCTGGTGCCATTTGGTTTTTGCCTACTGCGTAGCAAATCGTCACAACTTGTAAGGTTGCGGTTTGGCATTGGTTAAAAAATTGGTTGGTGGAGGGGTAAGGATTGGCGGTGCCTGCCCCTCCAAAGCTGCTGTTGTGAGGGAATTCCATTAAAGGAATCCAGGGGCTTGCCATTCTTTCGTCCATACCCCTGAATGGGGCTTAGGGGCGCGCAAGCCCCCGGGAGCATACCGGGGGGGTGAGGGTCTGGTGCCTGGCTCCATCCTCTCCCCAATATTGTTTTCCCTTACTGGCTTTCACTGGAATCCGGAAGTCAGTTCTGTCCCTGGGCGTGGGGATAGATAGTCATAACCAATGCCGAAGCAACCAGACACATTTATGTATTTTAATAACATTGTGGCCAAAACTATGCCAAAAACCTTAAACAAAAATTATGTGTGAATTGTGAATTATAACACTGGTCTGCATTGAGATCTGCATTGGCTCCCAGTATGTTTCCGAGCACAATTCAAAGTGTTGGTGCTGACCTTTAAAGCCCTAAATGGCCTCGGTCCTGTATACCTGAAGGAGCGTCTCCACCCCCATCGTTCAGCCCAGACACTGAGATCCAGCGCCGAGGGCCTTCTGGCAGTTCCCTCACTGCGAGAAGTGAGGTCACAGGGAACCAGGCAGAGGGCCTTCTTGGTAGTGGCGCCCGCCCTGTGGAACAAACGCCCTCCCATCAGATGTCAAGGAAATAAACAACTCTCTGACTTTTAGAAACCATCTGAAGGCAGCCCTGTTTAGGGAAGTTTTTAATATTTAATGCTGTATTGTTTTTAACACTCGATTGGGAGCCACCCAGAGTGGCTGGGGAGGCTCAGCCAGATGGGCGGGGTATAAATAATATATTATTATTATTTAATTACTGTTAGCCATTATTATTATTATTATGAGCTTCTTCTCCTTTATTTCTTTGTCTGGTGGGTTCCAGCTCCCCAGCTGGGGATAAAGGCCATTTCAGAGTGAGGGCTTCATTTGCCCTTCTTGATGTTGTCACATAGCAAACATCCAAGACTGGAAGGATCAGGTAATAATGAGTGGTCAGCAACATCCCATCTAGTGTGTTCATAAGTATATTTACTGTGCAACAACCTTGGAGCCAGCCAAAAAGCCTTTGAAAAAAGCCTGGTTGTTTCAAATCATTCTTACTGTCTTAAAATCCTTTAGCCACTTATTTGGGAGTAAATAATAACTTTGAACTCAGCTGGATTTACTTATGGGTATATGTGCATAAGATTTTGCTGTGGGCATTTTAAATGCTCTAGCTTTTAATTGTGCTTTTCTCTGCTGTTTGTGTGCATGTGCCTATACACACATCAACCATCAAATAAAAGCACAATAAAAAGTCAGACATTTTAAAACAATTTGTCTTGTTCTAACCTTGTTAACCACCTATAAATCATGACAAAAGACGCTGTGTGTGTTTGTTTGTGTGTGTGTGTGTGTGTGTGTGTGTGTGTGTTTCTTTAAGCAAATAAACAATTTGCTATCACTGATTGAGTCCAGCCACTAGGTGCCAAAGAAGCTTTTTATTATTAATAATATTATTAATTATTATAATATTATTATTAATATTATAAATCTATTGCTACCCACCTTCACACAGAACTTTACTTGCATATTAATTTACATCTATGTCATACATTTATAGCATATTTAAAGCATATTGCTTTCCATAAAGAAATGCTGGTAAATGTCATTTACCCCTTACAAAACTACAATTCCTGGCATCCTTTTTAAAAAAACTACAGTTCCCAGAATTCAGAGAAGCCATTTTCTTTGAATGTTCTTAACTGTATAGTATGGAATGTGGGTTTCTTTTGGGTTTTTTTCCCTTTGCGGCTACAATGGTTTTTGAAGAAAAAAAGAATAGGCACATTTTATCTTTCAAAGCAACTATTCAGAATGCAGGCTCATATATATACATTGCAGGTTTCAAAAAAGAAAAAAAAGGCAGCAAAAGAAACAATAGCTCAACAACAAACCAGCCAATGTATTTTAGCCCTGTAGAGAACTTGATCCAAGTCCAATTGAAAAAGGCAAGATTAATCCTGTTTAGTGGGCGTAAAAGTATTTCATTGCATTTAATTACGTTTGTCTAGACATTTATGGGATGTAACTAAGTTGTCGAAAACGTACGACATCAAACTGCTGTGTGTGCTTCGTATTAAAGGGCCTCCTTTTGGCTCAAGAACAGTAAAAAGTTATTTTTCTGAAAACAACTTCTGAGGCTACAATGAAAAACATGATTTCCATTGTCAAAGGCTTTTTTTCTGGACAAACTCTTTTTTAAACTTAAACAGATGCTTCAAAAAATATATGCGCTGAGAAGCTGGTTGAGATCTATGGAGGGATCACAACACATATGTGTTAAATGAGTCTTGCTTAATATGAACAAAGCAATTCATTATGTTTTACCCTGTTTTCCTAAGGGAAACAGAAGGAAATACGCTCACATAGAAATGCCAAAATAATCTGCTTCCTTTTTAAGGCTCAGCTAAACAAGGTTTGAAATAGAAATTCTGAATGGGGGGATGTTAGGCAAACAGGACTCAAATCATTAATAAAATGCAATTTTCTGGCATCTTGAATATTTTCCTGTAGCTATCATAAGCAATGTCCTCCTCTACATGTGTGCACACATAGGAATCCAAACTAGCGGCACCTAGATTGAGGATTCTTTAGGAATCCACTTCAAGGGCCATATCTCATGATTTGTAGACGAAAAGTCCTATAAATGCTACATAAGGCTGGAAAAGACCCTTTTATGAAACCCTGCTAGACAGTGTAGAGCAGGAATAGCCAACATAATGGCCTTCAGTCATTGTGCAACTCCTGTTCCCATCATGTCTCATCACTGGCCATGATGGTTGTTGAGGCTTAAGGGAATCAGAATCCGGCAAGATCTGAAGGGTACCATGTTGACTACTCCTGTTGTAGGCAGTACAGAGCAAAATGGGCCAATGATCTGACTCAGAACAACAACAACAACAACAACAACAACTATTATTATTATTGTTGTTGTTGTTATTATTATTATTATTATTTTCTATTCCTCCCTTTGGAGTATAAACAAATAAACAAATAAATTATACAAGTCGTTTTTTGTTTTTATACTGTGACTTTGTAGGTTATATCCAGCAGACAATTCTGATCCACTGACCAAGTAGGCATAGAAAGCCAGGCTGCAGGTATTTATATAACAGGTCTGGCCAACCTTGAAGCTTAATTGTGCCTGCCTGTTACTAGGCACAGTAACAACCAACCATATTCTCTTCCCATGCCTTAACTTGTGCCTTAATTGAGAGGTTCAGACTTATGTCACAAAAACCTGAGTAGGTTCCATAAGTTTCCTAATTCAAAAACTGGATAATCAACATCCTGTTCAGTTAACATCTCTGTGAATCAGAGTTCAACATGAAAGGCATGCACTCTTTCTAACTTAATGGCAGAGCAGATTTCATTCCACGAGGCTGCTGAACAGAGGAAAGATAAGAAGCACTTCTATCGCCTCTGGTAAAAGACCATTTGTCTTTGGTTTCCCACAAAACTGTCACCTAGCAGCAGCCCCCACCCCTGCTTCCTTGCATATCCATTTTTCTTTGCATGGCATGTCTCTTGCACTGTAAGCCTCAGGACAGGTAAGTCTCTGGCTACAGATTTTTGTAAGCCACTTTGGGAGCCATTTCAGCTAAAAATCAGAGTTAAAACATTTTAAATAAAATGCATTTTGGAAATAATCTAGGACTTTGCCTGGCCAGTGGATTCCAGATTGTCTATCTAGTTTCAAAAATACTGTGATATGAATCATACCTAGATAACGTTAGGGACTAGACAATCTGTTTCACCTGGGTTGTGAAGAAGGGCAAATTGAAAATGCAGAGGTGAGAGGCTAGCTGGCTGATTGATGTTCAGATGATTCAAATTACAAAGTAAAAAAGCAAAAGATGAAGGCTTCATAAACAAGGCAAGTTGGGGGAGGATATAGGGAGTGTCAAATGAACATCAAAGAATGCATGCTTGTCAGTAGTGGGGAAGCATCCCAAAGCTTTGACAAGTCCAGCCATTTGAACATTTTAAAACAAAAAGCCAAATTATCTCTCAAATCCTAATCAAAAGAGTATTTTGGACTGAATGGTAAGGAGGATATATGAATTATGTATTAGGTAATTATAATTAATGCTATATATAGTATCTTCAATGTGCAACTTTCTTTAAAAAAACCCATCCCTTTTCATCCTCCCACAAATCTTGTAAGATAGGTCATTTTCTATTTTACAAACAGGGAAATGGAGGCTAAGAAACCCTGAATTACCCAAGGCTAGCCAGTGAATCAGTCTGAGGCTTGAATCCAAGATGTTTAATATGTGCGTAATAGATTGTTTCCTATCACATGCAAGTAATCTCTATGTCTCAAGCTAATGGCTAAGAAAGAGTATGATCTCATGGAAGGTTGATGCACATTCTCAGGAGGAAGCGACAGACATAGATTATTGATCAATACATCTACATTGAGAAAAATATCAGTAGCTGGTAAAATATTTGCATCTATAAAATCACATTCTTCCATCTCCATTTCTAAAGAAACAGGGGCTGGGAAGATCATTGTCTGAGTTCCTAAAGAAATGTAGACATTATATAAGCAGAGGATTGGTTTGTTGAAGGTGGAGATGGGGGGACTCCCACACTGTTTATGTCAGGGGGAGCTGCAGAGAGATAGAGAGGCAATTACTAAAGTCCAGGAGCTGCATTGGAATTGATGGTTGGCCTATCTCAATAGGTAGCCCAGGCATGGGACTTCAGATGTTTCAGACTACAGCTCCCATCATTTCTGACTATTCCCATGCTGGCTGGGACTGATGGGAAGTTGGCATAGCTCCATTGGAAGAGCATGAGACTCTTAACCTGAGGGTCATGGGTTTGACCCCCATTTTGGGCAAAAGTTTCCTGCATTGCAGGGGGTTGAAGTAGATGACCCTCATGATCTCTTCCAACTCTACAATTCTACAATTCTATTTATTGCTATCAATATTTGACCTTTTAGGCTTGTGAATATGGCTTACATCTATATCTAATCAGGGCTGGGGAACCTCAGTCCTGAGGGCCAAATGCAACCTTTGGAATGCACTTTGGCCATGTCATCTTCTTAGGCCACATTACTCACCAGCCCTTGTTATCTGTGCTTAGTGTTTTTGCCTGGCTGGAATGTGTCCTTAAGTGGGTTCCCTAAATGAAGATATGTAGATGAACCTTTGGCCTCTGTGTAGCTAGTATAATGATTACTGTAGAAAGGAAAGAATCCCTGGAAGGTTTCTAGGAGAGAATGCAGTCCTTTTGGCTTCCTGTCTTTGAATGAGGGCTCATTCAAACTCCCTTTTGCACCACACAATCTGTGGAAAATCTGGCGGCTGTTTGTGGTAAAACACGTTTTTTCAGGGGAAATTCTGGGACCAAAAAAATAAAAATGAAAAACACCCACATTTGGACAAAGAGCTTTAACACTCAGAACTGTGTCTAGAAAGGCAACACCAAAGGAAGTCTGGCTGAGCCCTCATAGCTATCATATTTGCTTCACCTATAGGGATTTCTGGCTCAGGTGAACTTTGGGTTAGGCACAATAATTTATTCGATGTTTCAGTCATTGGTTTAGGACACACATTTACTTCTTAACTTCTCAGTTCTCTGTTTCTTTCCCCTTGCTGCCTGGAGTAGCAGTAGACTGCCTTTGAAGGTCTCCACATGTACTGTCGGTAAATCTTAGTGCTTTAATTGCATTCATCTGGGGACTTGTTATTGTAAGATTTAATAGACTTTGGGGTGTTCTCTACTGCTGCTTTAAACGCGTTGGTGCCATCCTGCTTCTAGTGAGATTGAGGAGAAAAATGGGACCTATGGGAATGACGCCAACAGTCTGGTGACTAAAGAGATTCAAGATTTTTGCCTTTAAGTGCCCCCTCAATGACCAGCAGGCTCTACAGGGGTGGTATGACTCACTCAAAGCCTTGGAGACGAAATATCCAGCGATAGCGAATTATCTTGGCAGAGGGGATATTCATCACTATCTTTGGATAGACCCCCTAAACCAAACAAGCTTTATTTTCTCCTGTACCCTACCAAGAAAACAGCTGTTGTTATTTGCAATCTAGCTGGTCCAGTAATGCTATTTACCGAGTGCTCGTTAAATGCTTCCATAATTATTCACAGGGACATAATGAACAGAACGACACATTGAAAGTTTATGGGCCGTGATAACTGCCCAAGCATATTCTGCTTTTGTTGTAAGCTGGTGACTCATTCTTCTGTTTATGACACAGAGCATTGGGGATATCTGAGCAGCTTTGACTCAGTCTGTGGAGTCGCATTGTGGTTCCTGTCAGTTCACCCACTGCCCTTCGTGGGGTCAGAAAGTGCGGCTGAATCATGACACAATATCTGAGCTGAGCTAAAGTTCCTCAGATAACATTTTTTTTTGTGAAAGAAAAAAAAATCCTTTTTTCATTCCCCACACCCCAGAAAAAGGAGAGCACCTCATAGAATCTCCTTTGTATGTGTGGTGGGCTCCATTCTCTGCCCTAACCCCCCCCAAAAAAAAATAATCAGGGATATTTTTCAGATTCAGATGAAACCCAAACCAAATTGGACAAGTGGACTTGGGCGTGGGTCAACCCATTAGGAGCTACCCAAGGATGCCAAAAGGACAGCCAGTCAGGCAGCAGAGGGAAGTAGGAGAGGACGGTAGCCTCTGGAATTCTTGCTTTGCCGGTGCATCCAGAAAATCTCTGAGAACTGTCTGGAAATCCATTGGATCCATCAGCCTCTGAGGGTGGACCATCCTCACAGGTCCCCCGCCTCTGCAGAGGACAAAAGATGTTATAAGTGTAAATCTTATCAGGAAGTGATGTGACAAAGAACTTATGTCAATATCCCCCACTTGCGTGTCAAGGTCCCCAAGCCACCGCTCAATAACTCACAACACACACGTATTTTTTGTTTAAGGTTTTTGGCATAATTTTGGCCACAACTTTATTGAAATACATAAAATGTGAGTGGTTGTTTAGGCATTGGTTAAGAATATCTGTCCCCCCCACCCGGGGACAGAACTGATTTCTGGACACCACCAAAAGTCAGTAATGGAAAACAATCTTGGGGAGAAATGGAGCTGAGGCACAGACCCTCACCTCTCCCCACATGCTCCCCAGGACTTGCCGGCCCTAGGCCCATTCCAGGGATTCGGACAAAAAGATGGCAAGCCCCCTGGATTTCTTTAACGGAATTTCCCTTTCTGCAGCAACCTTGGAGGGGCGGGCCCAGCCAATCCTAACCCCTCCACCAACCAATTGATAACCAATGCCTAACCGCAACCTTACAAGTTGTGACAATTTGCTACGCAGTAGGCAAAAACCAAATGGCCCCAGCCAATCAGCCAGATGGACAAAATTCCTACCAGGCCCCTGCCCCAATGGCAGACGACCCCATGACAGGCATAGCAAGGTCAAAGCAACCTAAATTTAGGGTGGGTGGGTGATCCGTTGCATGCAGCAAAAGAGACTGCCCAAGCTGCGAGCATGAGATTTAAAACCTCTGATCCCTCCCACCAAATTGCAACATAGAATTTGCCCCAGCAACCCAGCCATCCATTCGTTGTCCCAGGATTCCATAGTAATCCTGCCTGGCAACAGAGGGGTGGCCTGGTAGTCTCCACCGCAACACGTGCTCTTAAAAGAACACACTTTTAAGATCACTTTCTTCCTGCCCAGTTGATGACATAGAGCGCGCATGCCAGGGGGCATGTCCCCAGTTGTGGGGGCAAGCCGATGCTACTGCTGTCAGTTCAGGATGGGAGATGGCTGTGCAGCAAGGTGGGTGGTAAACCAGTGGAGTCCCCAATCTGTCCCCATTTCCCAGTGCCAGGAACACACACTCTAGATACTCCTGACTGGACAGAGAGGCTGGAGAGAAAGATGGAATCTCTATAGACTACAGCAACTCCCCCTCTCCAACCCTCAAGTCTGCCCTAATGCTGCACTGAGTACCACAGTGGGCACAGCTGGAAGGGACCAGATCCACCCTGGTCACTCACCCAAGTCTCTGTGATACAGACCAGATCTGTAGCACTCTGCATCTGATACAATCAGATCATGAATGAGGGGCGTCTTACTCTGAGCTGATCTGGCATTCAGCAACAGCAGCCGCATACCCAAGGGCCATCTGATAGGACAACTAAGATCCCCCAAGTTACCTGTCTGTGTACCACTTACCTGGCCTCCCCCACATTCCACACCATGCCTCTCCCTACCCTGAAACACAGCAACTGTTCCCACCCTGCTCTCCCCCAATGCTGCTATGCTAGGATAGCCATATTTCAAAAAGTGAAAATGCAACCACAAAAGTTATTGAGCAATTTAATGAAGCTTTCTTGGGGGGGCAAAGTTGTTGACTTCCCCCCACCTCCAAAGTTGCTGAGCTATTTTTAAGGGGGGGGGGAATTACACTTTTTTGCAAAAAAAAAATATTACACTTTTGACATGGGTGCCATGCATCCGGACGTTTCAGCAATTGCTACCCAGACACTGTTTCCAACAGTCGAATCTGGGCTATGTCTAGGAAATTTCGGAAATATGGCAACCCTATGCTATGCTCCTCAATGGCCATGCATGAGTTGCCTCAGCACTCACTACCCTACTGTCTAAGAGCAGCCAGTCACTCGTGGTCCGAGTAGGAATTTGCTTTTTTAGTTCTTTGGCTGTTGACTGGATTGGCAGGAAGGATATAGTTCTCCATCCCATCCTATCTCTTTATCTCAGGAGGACTGGCAGCTGGTATAAGGTGGTGCCTAAATAGTTTGGTTGGTCCTAACAGCAAGGCATTGTGTGAAAGTCTGTTATTAATTCAGCTGATTTCCCCCGCACACACACACACATTTGGTCACAAGGGGCAAACACAAGGCTCATCTGTCCATTCCTAATATAAACAGTGTTTTAGTGTAACTGTGTGATTAACCTTCACTGCTGTCCTTAATACTTTTTGCCTTTGTACGTGCAGAAAACCTGCAACATATTTGTGTGCTATAATAAATGTACTTTTACCTGTAATTGGTTGGGGTTTTTTTTAAAGACATCAGAAGCTTCTTGTGCCATCTACCCCAAAGGAAACTTATTTTTATGAGAGTTCCTTTGAGGCTCGAGCCACTTGGGGAACAGGAAGAAGAAGACATAATTAATATTTTGAAGGAAAGATAAATGAATGCAGAAAAAGAGATGTTTTCAGAGAAGAGCACAGAGCAGATGGAGAGTTGATGAGGCAAGAAGATGCCATCTTGAACCTCTATCAAGTTAGACAGGTGGCAAGCTGCAGTGTTAAGACCTGATCCTGTAAAGTGCTGAGAGGGAAGTCTTCTGTTAACTGGGACATCTTGAGGTAAGTTGGGAGATTTAGGCATAGTTTCAGTGGCTGCTCAGCACCTTACTCATTGTGCACCAACAAAATGGGTTTCTGTGTACATGTGAGGACATGATATTATTTCTGCACATCGGCATCCATCATGAACTGTTACAGAGATTTGCTGCAGTTGTGCATCCAACAGGATTTGAAAGGATGCAAGAATCCCCCCTGACCTATAATACCCTACCTTGTTCTGTTTTGGGTAAGATTTCCTCAGCTCATCAATCTCCGATCTGCTTTGACCTCCTCTCAACTCAGCCTTTTTCCTGAAACATCTGAATTGGGAACCTATAAACATATGACAGGGTGAATGTGGATCCACTTTTAATATTAGCACAGGAAGCAACCATATACAGGATCAGAGCACAGGTTCATCAGTCTGCTGTCTACACTGGCTTGTAGCAAATCTCCAGTGTTTCAGGCACAGAGCTATGGCCCTTCTCCAAAGATGCAGACCTACTTGAAGACACCAGGGACTGAACTACAGACTTCCTGCAT